TATGCTCCATGGCTGGCGGTAAGGCTACCCAATACGTCACCGGATTGATTTTCTCAATGATTTCATATGGCCCAACATATCTCGTTGCTAACTTGCCCTTAACACCAAACCGCGTTTGGCCCTTCATCAGAGTTACTTTCATAAACACGTGATCCCCGACTTCATATTCCCTGTCTCTTCTTCGAACATTAGCATAACTCTTTTGGCAGCTTTGTGCAGTTTTCAGACATCGAGGATCAGGGAAGAGGACGGGAAATTTTGTACCTTCGGGGATTAGGGACGAAAAGTGTAATCCCCAGCCCCGCCTCAGCCCGTTGCCATTCTTGACACTGACTAACTAGCTCGATGATATGCCAGCACCAAATCAAGTTACTAACAACTTGAGGCAAATTGTCTGAGTGGAAGAAGACATTGACTTTTTGTTGGCTGGGTTGTTTCGGTGGTGTTGCCTTTTCTTAGGTGTTGTTTGTTGGGAAATTTTCAAAATGGTTTTTAAAATGCATAGTATAATTTTTGGGTGTTTTCAAAACCTTCCTTATTTTTCTTTGGAAAGCTTGAAATAAGCTTGGGGACTTTGTCCCATATCGGAAAGAAAGGAAAACATGGAGCACTTAATAAATTCACGCATGGAATATTCTTTTGAATATGGAATTGTGAGGTGAAAGCTAGTGTGAATGCACCCACACCGTAAGAATGGTGCTTCGCACCATCCGCACACGCACACGCGCGCACACGGCATGGGCAGTAGGCTATGTGGCATTTGATGGCACACTTTGCACTTAGCACGGATAGATTAGAGCAATGATGTAGAATACAGTCAACTCCACGTGACAGTGATGTGACGTCCGTTCGCGATGAGTCAACCAACCAATCGGATGGTTATGAGTTTGATCTTGAGCGGTTTGATCATAGTCGTTGATTGGAGATGCGTGCGATCATATAGATGAGATGGCACCCGATCGTGATCAAGTGTGATCAGTCAAGGCAGCTATTCGATGTGAGAATGATCTACACCATAGATCGTCGATCCAATTGTCAGATCTGATCGGATGCGATCAAGGGACGTGACCATTCGATTAGATCCATCAAGGCCTATAAATAGGCTGCGAAATTAGCCATTTCATTCCATCCAAAAAAAAATCAGAAGCATTCCTCCAATTCTTTCTCTCTCTCTCTCTTGATTTCTACGTGGTAATGATATGGTATCCATTGGCAATGAGTCAACCAGCCGATCGGACGGTTGTGTGTTCGATCTTGAGCGATTTGATCATAGCTGTTGATTAGAGATGCGTGTGATTGTACGGATGAGATGGCGCCCGATCTTGATCAGGTATGATCAGTCAAGGCAGCTATTCGGTGTGAGAATGATCTGCACCATAGACCGTCGATCCAACGGTCAGATCTAATCGGATGCAATCAAGGGACGTGACCATTCAATCAGATCCATCAAAGCCTATAAATAGGCTACGAAATCACTATCTCTCTCTCTCCCTCTTGATTTCTACGTGGCAATGATATGGTATCTATTGGCAATGAGCCAACCAGCCGATCGGACGGTTGTGTGTTCGATCTTGAGCGATTTGATCATAGCCGTTGATTAGAGATGCGTGCGATTGTACGAATGAGATGGCGCCCGATCTTGATCAGGTGTGATCAGTCAAGGCAGCTATTCGGTGTGAGAATGATCTGCACCATAGACCGTCAATCCAACGGTCAGATCTAATCGGATGCAATCAAAGGACGTGACCATTTGATCAGATCCATCAAAGCCTATAAATAGGCTGCAAAATCAGCCATTTCATTCTGTTAAAAAAAAATTCAAAAGCATTCCTATAATTCTCTCTCTCCCTCTTGATTTTGAGTTTTCGATCAAAAGTTTCTTGAGCAAATTTCTTCTTTTCTTACTGGTAATCAAGTTCTGCAGATTTGATTATCAGTGTCTTGATTTTCTTGATTATATCAAGAGTATTCTGATCTACTGTCGTCAGTGCAAATGCCGGTAGACTTGATCTTTAGATCAGGCTTCACTGTATCCTGAAGGCAAATTTGTTGTAATCTCATGCACATCTTTTGGTGAGTACAAATATTGTCTTTAGGAAAGTGACTTAGTAATGCGACTTGAAGTACCAAATTTCTGTTCTACGTAGACAAGATCATCGCCAAGTTTTGAAGTTCCGAAGATCACCAACTGAAGATTTCAAGACGAATTGTTTCAACATTGTCCTCTATGCGTGTGTTTTTTTCTTTTTTTCTTTTGGTATACGTAGGAGGGGTTTTAACAAAATGAATTATTTGCCAAACACTTTGCCTAATAAAGTACATAAAATAGTATATTCTGCATTTTGTTTAACTAATTTGCCCAGTGTATATTTGGGATATACTAAATTAATATGTTTTTTTTTATTTTATAAAAAGATGTATAATGTGATAGAAAGGTGATATAACTCAAATAAAACAAAATAAATATGTTAAAATAGATTATGCCAAATAACCCCTAATAATGTTTTCTACACCCAAAATTGGGTTGCTTGCTTCCAAAATTCTTGAAATGTAACGAGCCAAAAGAGGGCATCTAGAACTATAAGACCTGATTTTGAGCCATATAGTGAACTATGATGGCTCTTCATTATGACGGTATAAAATATAGCTCAATTCATTAAAATCGTATTAATTTGTACTATTCTATCCGTTAAGGATTAAATTTTAAAATTTATAATTCGTTTTTAACACCGCTCCACTCTATTATATTTAATACATATATTTTTTAACCTATAATGAAATATTAAAATAAAAATGAATGTGAAATAGATTTAAGATATGAAATTTGTTATAAATTAGTAGTTATATATATGAAAAATATTATATAAAATTAGTTTGTGTTATCTATATATAAAATATTATGCAAATTAGTATTATATTATGCAAATACTTGATAATTAGTTAAGAATATTTTTCAATCTAACAATCTGTCCAAAATTACCTAAATCGTGATTCGTCAATCTATCAATCTACTATTCGGTTTATACCTTTACTCACAAACCGTCCACACCGCACCGTGCACACCCCTAGTCCTAACCCCTCCAATTATGTTAGATATGAGGAAAAGATAATGGGCAAACATTAAAATAAATAAAGATAAATGTATTTTTAATTAATAAAAAATAACTTAATATTATGTGAATTAAAATCTTAAAATAAACTAATATCAAAACAGTTAGATTAATTATAATTTTTTTTAAATATCAGGAGAGACACCCAAATATTTTAAAATGTTCTAAATGGATGTGTGTTTGTAGGACCCGAACAGTATCTCTGTCTGACCCGTTTCTCTGTCTGACCCGTTTATTTAGGTGCCGTTTGGTAACACTTACGTTTTCAGTTTTCTATTTATATTTACAAAAATTTAAAAAATTCAAATAAAAACTTATTTGGTAAAATTTTTGATTTATAAATCAGTGGTCTCAGTTTATAAATTTGGCCAAAAAATGAAAACACAAAAAACATATTTCCATTTTCAGTTTTTAGTTTTTTTTTTTATCACCCAACATTAGCCACCACCCGCCACCATTTTCCACCACCGTCTTCCGCCACCACCACCCACCCTCCACCACCACTTGCCAGACAAGATCATCGCCAAGTTTTGAAGTTCCGAAGATCACCAACTGAAGATTTCAAGACGAATTGTTTCAACATTGTCCTTTGTGCGTGTGTTTTTTTTTTTTTTTCTTTTGGTATATTTTTTTTTGGTATATGTATGAGGGGTTTTAGCAAAATGAATTATTTGTCAAACACTTTGCCTAATAAAGTACATAAAATAGTATATTCTGCATTTTGTTTAACTAATGTATATTTGGGATATACTAAATTAATATGTTTTTTTTATTTTACAAAAAGATGTATAATGTGATAGAAAGGTGATATAACTCAAATAAAACAAAATAAATGTGTTAAAATAGATTATGCCAAATAACCCCTATTAATGTTTTCTACACCTAAAATTGGGTTGCTTGCTTCCAAAATTCTTGAAATGTAACGAGCCAATTGAGGGCATCTAGAAAAAAGCCATTATAAGACCTGATTTTGAGCCATACAGTGAACTATGATGGCTCTTCATTACGACGGTATAAAATATCGCTCAATTCATTAAAATCGTATTAATTTGTACTATTCTATCCGTTAAGGATTAAATTTTAAAATTTATAATCCGTTTTTAACACCGTTCCACTCCACTATATTTAATACATATATTTTTTAACCTATAATGAAATATTAAAATAAAAATGAATGTGAAATAGATTTAAGATATGAAATTTGTTATAAATTAGTAGTTATATATATGAAAAATATTATATAAAATTAGTTTGTGTTATCTATATATAAAATATTATGCAAATTAGTATTATATTATGCAAATTCTTGATAATTAGTTAAGAATATTTTTTAATCTAACAATTTGTCCAAAATTGCCTAAATCGTGATTCGTCAATCTGTCAATCCACTATTCGGTTTATATCTTTACTTACAAACCGTCCACACCGCACCGTGCACACTCCTAGTCCTAACCCCTCCAATTATGTTAGATATGAGGAAAAGATAATGGGCAAACATTAAAATAAATAAAGACAAATGTATTTTTAATTAATAAAAAATAACTTAATATTATGTGAATTAAAATCTTAAAATAAACTAATATCAAAACAGTTAGATTAATTATAATTTTTTTTAAATATCAGGAGAGACACCCAAATATTTTAAAATGTTCTAAATGGGTGTGTGTTTGTAGGACCCGAACAGTATCTCTGTCTGACCCGTTTATTTAGTACCCTACCCGTGAGAGACTACCGTTGAGATTCAAAAACTTACCGAAACGTAGAAAACAAAACGACGAGGTTTTGTATTCAAAACCAACAAACCTCCACCGTAGGATGAACTCGAACATGCTCGATGTTTAAGCATATAGGTTTGTACTACGTTGTCCGCCCCTTTTATATTTGAAACTAGAACTCGGAGACCGTTTGATTTCTCTCTCTAAAACTCTCTTTCTCTCTCTAGAACTCTCTCTCTTTCTCGCTCTTGAATTCGACGAGCACCTGCAGATCTTTCTTCCCTGCCGATCTGCAATGCCCGTTGAATCGATTCAATCAACTTTCTCTCTCATCCGATCGCGTTCCTCGAAGCTCAGTTCGGTGAGTCTTTTTTTTTTTTTTTTTTTTTGAATCGAGTAGTTTAATTTGTTTCAGATGTGTTAAAAGACTCAAACCCTATCTAATTGAAGCAAATGGATTGAAATTCAATTCGGTTTGTTTTCCTGATTCGGTTGTTTTGATGCTTTTCGACCAGAATAATTCACTGATTGTTTTAGAAGTTATAGATACATTGTTTAGGTTTTGCTGTAATTTGTTTCAGAGTGAATGATTGCGCGCAGAATTCATTGATTTTGGGTATACGGAGTCGATTTTCAACAATTTTATGGAAATGAAATCTTGGGTCTTTTCTTATTAAGGAAAACAAACCAAATTAAAATAACGGTGGGCTTTTGTGTTTCAAATTGAAATGGTTATTTGAATTTGAATTTCGGGGAAGTTGCTGTTTGGCTAGTTAATTGTTTAATTTATACTTGTATGCAATTTAGGTGTTTGATTTTTAGAGAATCAGTAATTGAAATTTTAATTCTTAAAACTATGGAAAGACCGATAAACTATGGAAATTTTTATTAAAGTAACAGTTGTTTGTTTCTTTGGAGTTCATAATTGCTTTAAAATCTCATCACTATTCTGTGTGTTATGAGTTTGATATTCTAATCTCTGTTTCATTTTGTTTGTTCCTCTTGTAGACTGTGGTCCCATTTTGTAGTAAGGCAGCTCCCGCCACTTCTTAGGGAAATTGATAATGATTTGGGGAAGAAATGCTAGAGAGAAGTGCTGTCGAATAGAAATTGGGATATGTAGATTTTCTCATCTATCAAGCAACGATGGAAAGTGACAGGACAAACGCTACTACTTCAGAAGGGGTCAGTGATGGTCTTCAGAGGGTGCCTCCTTTGCACGGGTATCTTTTAAAAGCACATGGAAAATAATTCTTTGCTAGAGATTCCAGAGTTTTTCATCTTTAACTTCATTGCTGAGACACTATTATATTCTTCCTTGTATCATATTCCTCTGTACCCTTTATACCTTGAAACAAGGGATATGACTGAGAATTCCAATTGAAGTGTTCTATGATATACTAACATCCTTTAGTCATATTCCTCTGTATCCTTTAGTCTTGTTTGTGAATCCTTCAGCTAGATCAAACATTGTATTGATGCTTTTGACCTTCAACTGTTACTGGTTTATTTTTTGCATTGGAGCTGATGTTGGTCATCTCCCTATGGTTGCCACCCCGCCACAACTAATAATCTATTCATGATTTTATTTTAAGTCACTAGTGTTTCATTAATTGAGAGAATGACTAGTATGTCAATCTTCTGTAACACTATGGTTGCCATTGCTTTACAGGAGGACTAGTGGCCCTAGGAGGCGTTCAACAAAGGGACAATGGACAGCAGAGGAGGTAAATGGTTGTCTTTTTGAAATTAGATCAAAAAATCTAAGCTGGTAACTCTTTTTTCTTGCTTTGCTTGACACTATTGTTTTCTTATCATTAAGCATCATGGTTATGTATAAAATAATATCTGTACAGATTACTAATTTGTTATTCTGCAACTAAATTCTTTGCTTGAGGATGCTTGACTTCAAACACTTTTCATTTACCTTCTTACATTTTGGATTCTTTTGCCTATTTTTCTAAGTACTTACAGTAATTACATAGGAGGTGTCTTTGATATTTTTTGGTAAATACTTAAGTGCCTCTTTTTTAGCAATAATATGTCTGAAATCTAATCTAGTAACCTATGTTACATGGTCTTGGGTACAAATGTTGGGTGTGGGTACATATCTAGGGTTCATATCCATCAAACCTCTAATTGAAGAAGTGGACTCAACAAAACAATCATATTTTTTATATTTCAATCTATTTTGTGAGAGAAAATGGTATTTTATGGAATAGTATCCAAAATAGTATTTATTGTAACATAGTATCAAAAAAGGCAATTTAATCATTTTATAACATTTATGCTCAAAAAATACATTTATTTAAATACAATTATATTACAAAATTGAATTGTTGGATGTGCTTGCTAAGTGCATATCTGATGAGAATATCAGACACATATCTTGTACCTTTATCTAGGTGTCAAGTGTTCAACACAGGTGGTACATTTATTTTGAAGAGTCCATGTTACATAGATAGTAGTAATTGAATGCTTTGGTCATTTTGACATTCGTGACAATTACATAAATTTGTCTTATTACTGGCTACTCACTTTTGACATTTATGTTGTGCTCCATTTGTAATTTGAAGAATCATCATAAACTTTTTAGGCTACTCTTTTCTTTAACAATTTTTACTTTTCTTTATGCCTATTTGGGGGAAGTGTAGCTTGTATCTTCTTTTTTCTTCTCCTTAGCAATGGTATCTTTCAAAGTTGTGGTTGGAATATAAACAGAAAACTGAAAACGTAAGTGTTACCAAACAGCACCGTGTGTTCCATTTGTAATTTGAAGAATCATCATAAACTTTTTAGGCTACTCTTTTCTTTAACAATTTTTACTTTTCTTTATGCCTATTTGGGGGAAGTGTAGCTTGTATCTTCTTTTTTCTTCTCCTTAGCAATGGTATCTTTCAAAGTTGTGGTTGGTTCTATTTGAAGATTTTGGTTTGTTGTGTATAAGAGATTTTTTATTTTTTATTTTATTTTTTGATCTACATATGAACATATATACTTTAATTTTCTTGTCATATGTTACTAACAAGGTGGGTTACGATTTTTCTTTCATTCAGGATGATATCTTGTGCAAGGCTGTTCAACGCTTTAAAGGAAAAAACTGGAAAAAAATAGGTATCCTTTTGAAATCAACATTTCTATCTCTATCATTGGAGTGTCTCCTTTTGGGGCTTTGTTTGTTTGGAGGAATAGGATTTGGGGGGATAGAGGGATAAGTAATACTGTGGGCCACAATGGGAAAATAATCTCATTTTCATGATGTGCAAGTCTCTTCTGTGTATAACTCATTTCTTCCTTCATTTGTGCTTGGCCATGGATTTCTTTCCATGATGGTCTGTATTTTTTCTTCTTTCTCTTTACTTGATTGTAAGTGTTGTGTTACCTTGGCATGTTTCTGTAATACAATTTTCATTTTTAACAATGTTCTGTATCACTTTTTCATTTACAGTTTGACGAAAGAAGTTGCCACTTGCTATATTTGCGTAAATACTGAACTATGAATTTAATTAACTAGGCAACTAAATGGTTTGAAATTTGAGTTACTTTAGTGAATAACAGTTGTATATATTCAACTTATCATTATCTCACAATTTTAAAGTATCTCATAGTTGAAGAATGAACTTTTCTTGGGCTATGCTAGAAATTTAGATAGGGCTGATGATGAACAAGCCCCAAAATTGCTCACAAACCCCTAACCATATCAGGACTGAATTCCAGCTTTTCTTGTTTCGTTCTCTATTGGTTATAGTACTACCTCTAACCTCTCATATATGTATTATAGACCTTTAAATCTTATTCATTGTAAAATTATGCTTTCTGTAGCGGAATGTTTCAAGGACCGGACAGATGTACAGTGCTTGCACAGGTGGCAGAAAGTTTTGAATCCAGAACTTGTCAAAGGGCCTTGGTCTAAAGAGGTGAGGCATCATGGTTGTTTCTTGCTTGTCTGTCAAACTTGCCCTCCATAATATCTGCTAATTCTCTTATTATAAATTCTAATATGACCAAGTTAATTACCCTTGTAACATTTTTACAGGAGGATGAAATAATAGTTGAATTGGTGGATAAATATGGGCCAAAAAAGTGGTCTACCATTGCACAACATTTACCTGGACGTATTGGAAAGCAATGTCGGGAAAGGTATAAAGTTGCGAACTTCTCCAAATGAAGTAGTGCAATCACAAGTATTTGCTATGGATGGCCATGTACATGATTCTGAAGTTGTATATTTTGTGGTCAAATATGTAATGTGATTTGGAAAGTACCTCTATCATTTGTACCTCCAACCCGCCCACCAATAAGGCCAATAAATCATTTGTACATCATAGCAAATGATTTCCCTATGAAGCACCTACAATATTTTTTGCCAAATTTGTGTCCATATCCTATTTTTTTCAAAATCGCCATGTCCTGTATCCATGCTTCTTAGTGCTTTCCCTTTCCTTACATGATTGTATGCATATGTTTAGTTGATTTAAGATTCTTGGTTGTTTATGATTCATTACTTCTAAACGTCAAGTGATACTTTTGCTAGGTGGCATAATCATCTTAATCCCAATATCAACAAGCAGGCTTGGACGCAAGAAGAGGAATTGGCTTTGATTCGTGCACATCAAATTTATGGGAACAAGTGGGCAGAGTTGATGAAATTTTTGCCTGGGAGGTACATCCATAAAGTTATTTGAAGGAAACACTACAATTTTTAATCATTTATTGAATTTAGAGCTTTCACATGTTCTCTTTTTGATCGGCAGCTTTCACATATTCTTCACATCCTAATGTACTTTCATTTTGTTCTGCATCATTTGATCTCCCAAAAGTTAGTTTGTTTATGTATACTTGCTCTGCTTTTATTTGTCTGTTAATCGAAATTGTTTGCAGTTTTGATCTTAAACTGAAATTCATTGTTACTGGTCATCAGGTCAGACAATGCCATTAAAAATCATTGGAACAGTTCCGTAAAAAAGAAATTGGACTCATACTTGGCTTCAGGCTTACTTGCACAATTCCAAGGCCTGCCTCATCATGTCAGGCACCCAAACCAATCAATGCCTTCATCTTCTTCAACAGTGCAACAGAGCAGCGGAGATGATAGTATTCCCAAAGAAGAGACAGATGCGGAGGAAATTTCAGAATGCAGTCAAGGCTCAACTGTTATCGGTTGTTCTCAATCTGGAAGTGATATAGCCAATGTAGCAGCATATACAAGAGACGACTGGCAACTGCCTGAAGAATCTAGTCGTGGAAAGGATCCAAGCTTCAGTCCAGCATCGTGTTCTGAAAATTATCACACATCTTTCCAAGAAGTTGCTTTTTCCATGCCAGATGTACCTTGCGAAGTGGATGGCTCTTCCAAGTTCCTTCAACAAAATTTCTCAAATGACTGGGAAAGTTTTGCTGGAAAAGATTGGCAGCTTAATTTGAATGATTTACTTAACATAACTTCACTGGATTTGGGGCAGAAATCATCAGAATTCTTGATACAGTGTTTAGGTGGCAATGAAAACCATGAAGTGGTACCTTTCCCGTTACAAACTTGTGTTAGTTCAAGTGCTTCTCCTTCCATGGGAAATATGGACTTTGAATCTGACCAACCATCAAACTATCAGTTACCTGAAACTGCTGGCACTTCATCTTCACAATCATATTATCACCGAGGGTCTCATATGTTAGAAACTTTATGCTCTCAACCTTATGCTGTTCCTTCACAACTTCCCCCAGATGATGGTGCAATTTTCTTTGCTAGCGATGCCAATCAATTTAATGATCTCTCACATGCAAACCAAGAAAAGCAGCTTGTAAACAGTCCAAATGAAGGCTTCATCTGTACCAATGACTCAGTAAATTCTCCTCGTGATAATGGAACAGATGGTATGGGTCTGCAGGATCAACCAGATCAGGCAAACGATTCTTTAAAAGTAGTTCCAGTAGATGCTTTCAGTTCAGGACCACCAAATCATATCCAAACTAGTTCTTCAGTAAATGATAGTCCAATTGTTCCAACTTCTGAACAGCAAGATAGAGGACCTCTATTTTATGAGCCTCCTCGTTTTCCAAGCTTGGATATTCCTTTCTTCAGTTGTGATCTCATACAATCCGACAATTATACACAACAAGAGTATAGTCCTCTTGGTATCCGACAACTGATGATGTCAACTGTGAACTGTTTTACTCCATTTAGGTTTTGTGATTCGCCATCTCAGGATGGTAGTCCAGATGCTGTGCTGAAAAGTGCTGCGAAAACTTTCACTTGCACACCATCGATATTGAAGAAACGAACCCGTGATTTGGTGTCCCCTATGTCAGAAAAGCGAGTTGAGAAAAAGCTTGAGAGCGACATGAATCTGGAGTCCTTTTCTAGCTTGGCTAGAGATTTTTCTAGACTAGATGTTATGTTTGATGAGAATGGGAACAAGAAAGCACCTCTACGACTGTCTCCATCATCAAACCAGAAAGGGAAGTCTGGAAACTCCACTAGTACTAAAGAAAATTTAAATCAGTGTTCTAGAAAGTTGGACACTACATTGAATCAAAGTGCTCTTTCAGAATTTTCATCAGGGAATCCATGTTCGTCATCTATTGTTAACTCTGCACAATCTGCTCCTGCGTCAAATCCCCAAGAAATCATGGCTGGAAGTTCTGGGAATGCTGCTGGTGCTGAAAACTTGAACATGTAAGCTTTTGTTAGTTTTTCTTTTACTTAATACTATTATTATTTTCATGTAACTTTTTTTTGTAGGATGCTAGTTCAGATAGTCATCTTTTGTTTGATCACTGGCTGCTATTCTTTTTCATGAGCCTCTTTTATTTCTGGGTTGATTTGGATCATTATTTTTGGGGTTTACAAGAAAATCATTGCAGATGTTGCTTTTACCTTGAGAGGCCTTTCAGATGTCTTTTAAGTCCAACTTCTCTCTAGTTTTGTACTTAGATGAAGTATTTCCAGCGTTTCCTATTTCTTTTAAAATACAATGGTGGCAACCTGCCTATCGCTGTCCTTTGGGTTTACTTTGCTGATGATTTTTATTCCCAGATTCATTGACACTCCTTTCAAAAGAAGTATCGAATCCCCTTCAGCGTGGAAGTCTCCTTGGTTCATTAACTCTTTTGTGCCAGGCCTAAGAGTTGATACAGATATAACAATTGAGGTATCTAAAGTCCCTGATAGTTATTTGTTTTGTTCAGTTATATGATGAATATGTTATAGATTTATTTCTAATTTTTATTCTTTTCTTATTTCTTTGTTATACTTGTAAATCTTACAGGATATCGGTTACTTTATGAGCCCTGGGGATAGAAGTTATGATGCCATTGGACTAATGAAACAGTTAAGTGAGCATACTGCAGCTGCATTTGCCGATGCCCAAGAAGTTTTGGGAGATGCAACTCCCGAAACAGTATTAAAGGAAAGATGCTCCAACCACCAGAACCCGGAACAGGAGAATAATTGTGTCCTGAAAAGTCCGCCTGAGAATCATGCTCTTTTGCCTTCAAATATCTCGGTATGGTTTTGCAATATTTTTAAGAAATTTTTTTCCCCCGCCTTTTGCAATAGACTGTGTTCGCTGGAGGCTCCAGTAAAGCTCCAAAGTACAGTAGCTTCCAAAACATCACTTGCTTCATTTCTAACCTACTAGAAAACAATAGGCGTGCTGCCTCATTTGCATGCATGGTAAGTGGTTGTGACGTCCAATCTATTACAAAAGACAACTTATGTTTGAAGTTGGTTATGTGATGAAAATTGGTGGTAAATATTTCATTTATACAAGTACTCTTCCCATGTAAAATCTTGAGTGTTTTTCTGTTATGATGACTAGTTTAGGGGAATTTCCCTCATCTCTCTTCCTGGCAACTCTCGAACCCTTGAACTGTGCTATACAGGATAGAGAGGAAGCCAACAGGCTCAGTTAAGGAATTTGGGTTGAAATCTATCTGCTTCGTGTTTGATCTTCATCAGCATTCTTTGTTGCTTAAGCTTTTGCGACAATTGGTAATCTAACAAAAGGAACAAACAGAAATGCCTCATCTTTTAGCTCAAACTGATTTACTTTCAACACTCATCTATATTCCAGTTGAACTTAAGCTCATTTGGTCAACTAAACAGAAATCCAGTTGGAAGATGGTGATGGATGTCTATGCATATCCTTCAACTGAATTTTGCAAAAGCTCTCTAGGTTGAAGCATCCCTGTTATTGATGTCATGAGATAAAACTGTTTTTTTTTTTTCTTTTTTTTTGGGTTCACTTGACATTAGAAGATTGTTAAAATCCAAGTGAAATAGCATGTTCTATTCTTAACCAATGGGACTAGCCCAATTGATCGGAGCTCTTGTACCCCACTAGGCAATCTAGTGTTCGACTCCATCAACTTGCATATGGGACGTCTCTCCCACTTTTGAGTGTTGTATTTGTATTCTAGTTTATCAAAAAAGGGTTATTTTCAGGGAGAAAAAAAAAGGTCAAACTTACTTACTTGGAACTCTGTAGAATTTGTCTAAACTGTCAAACACATTCTATTATCTCCTTCCCTTCTGATATATATAATTTTTTTCTTTGCAGACGGAACGACGTGTACTTGATTTCAGTGAATGTGGGACACCTGGGAAAGGGAAAGGAAATGAAAACGGAATATTATCAACCACCAAAAGTTTCTCAAGTCCGCCTTCCTATCTGTTAAAAGGTTGCAGGTAGCAGATTCTTGTGGCTATAATAGCCTTATTATGCTGTATTATTTCATAGTTCATATATACACATGTGTTTATTTTTGCCCCCCCTTTTTTTTGTGTATTTTGTTCCTTGTTTCTCCAATTGTCGTTAAAATTTCAGACTTTCTAATATATCAAATTGATTGAAGATTGTTTTAGTGAATTCTGGTTTCTTTCACCTTTTGAAATTACTATATTCTTCTTCTTATTGTATCAGAAAAAAGTATACGGTCAACATTGTATGAGTATTTTTTTATTTTTTTTATTTTTCAATCAAACCCAAATATATATATATATAAACGAGCAAACAAACATACAAAACGTTAGGTGCTCCGAAGAGCACGTTTAGCAGCTACATGAATTGTTTGCCGACAAACTTTACATATAGCAACATGATCACTAAACTCCATACATAGGGAGCGAATCATTTGTTGCTTGCACCATTGAGGGACCTCCCAACGAGCAAGGATCCTCTAGAGTGATTTTTTCCTAAAGTTTCCTAGAGTGCTACATTGTGTGGTTGAGATTTACTGGCAAGTCACATCAATTTTTCTGATGTGACTTGCCAATAAATCTCAATCACACAATATAGCACTCTAGGAAACTTTAGGGAAATTTCACTCTAGAGGATCCTACCTGCCTCCCAACATGCCCGAACTTCCGAGTGGACTGCTGATATTGCTTGAAACTGGAATAATTTAGTGAAGATTAAATTCCCATTGCAATCCAATGCCACCCAAGCTGCGTTCGAGTCTCTTTTCCAATCTCCATCAATAATAAACCTATAAAAATATGGATCCACCTGATTCCATGTAGATTGTCGACCAGTCAATTGTGGTCCCGTTGGCTCTGTAATTTGTAGTGCAACAAAACGATCACATCTCAAAACAACTGACAATGCAAAAAGTGTCATCCCATGCAGCCCGAAGACCACCACTACTAATACTATTACGCTGTGTTTGGCTGGAGAATTTGGGAAGGAAAAGAAAAAAGAAAAAGATAAGGAAAAAGTGAATAAAACATCTTAATATTTTACATAGTTTCACACGCTTTCTCTTTTCCTTTCCAAATCCCCAACAGAACACAGCATTAATGCCATTCAAAACCAGTGCAAAATTTCATACCACTAGAATTAACCCAAACCATTGAAGCTTTTGAGGCTTCCATTTTAGTTTCAATCAAGAAGATGAGATTAGGTTGGTGTGTTTTTGGGTCAACAAACGCCAGCTTAGAAGCTTCATGGTTGATGCAGAGGTGGTGTTAGCAAGGGAAGAGGAAGAAGCAATCACAAAATCTATAATCATAGCCTCTGAATGAGCCAGAAAAAGATTATCACAAGGATCATATGTTGTTGACACATCTGCACCGAAGCTGTCATCATTTTCAAGACTGGAACAACTTGCGTCTGTAATCATAGCCTCTGCTCCATCGACTTCTGCAAGAAGAGCCACATCCACATAAAAGCTGAAATAATCTTCACTGCCAGTGGAGTTCCATGAAAATGCTTCATTCATGTCATCACAGTGAAGCCACCTACTTTCCAACACACCATTAAGTTTCATTGCCTCTGACCATTGACTGAATGAACCAGTCATCAATTGTATGAGTAGTAGTTGTTTCTACCGTTATTATTATTATTATTATTATTATTATTATTATTTTGTTATTCTCCAAATACGGCTGCCCAATATTAATTTGGCCAAATCCAAGAAATTTGTTAGCTTAAAATGGTCAAAATTTGAGTCTCGAGACAAAAGACATCCTATTTTGCAATGATTGTTTTGATAGTGAATGACATCAAATTCTGACCATCTCCAACGATTTACTAAACTTGGCATCAAATTTAAAATTTGGTGAAAAAGTCACTTTTTGAAGTTCCAACGGTTTCACCAAACTGGTATCAAATTGAAAATTGACCAAAAAAATCATCAAACTGAGAATAGGATACAGATTTTAGCAAATTATTGTTTGTGACCGTTGGAGGAGAGGAATCAGTCAACCAGCCGGTTGCCCGGCCAGTTGATCAACCGGTCGACCACGAAAAGGTTCAAACAGTTCAAATAGGTAGGTTCAAACAATTCAAAAAATAATAATAATAATATTTTTGACCAGCCGGTCGACCACTAAAAGGTTCAAACAGTTCAAATAGGTAAGTTCAAACAATTCAAAAAAATATATATATATATTTTGCCTTACCGATCGACCAACCGATTGTCCCTAGAGTAGATTTGATGAAAATCAACCATTGGAGCATTCTGTATCAAATTGAGAAAATGATCATTTTTTTATTCAGATTTAATGAAAAATTAGGTGAACCATTGGAGATGCTAGAGTTCAATTTTTATTCACACAATTGATTTAAAAAAATGTCAATAAAAACTCTCATTTGTTAAATTAGTATTTTAACCAATTCACTCACTTTCTCAAGTGTACGAGCAAAGCAGTTTTTGAGACTGCAACATTTGAAACTTGCCATAAGCATATTAAACTATGACATTTCCTTTTTAATACAAATTATTTGCAAACAGAATACAAATCAATATGTTTAGTTTCAGTTTTTTAAATTTAATTTTTTAAAAATTAAGTTTTTTTATTTTTTATATTTTTTTATTGTTAGTGAATATTTTTAAAATTTTAAACAATTTTTTTATTTTTTTAAATACATCTTACTTAGATGTATCTAAAAAGTAAAAAAATTGTAAAAAAATATTTTAAAAAATTAATAAATACATAAAAATACAAAAAAGAATATTTTATATTAACTTCAAATTTATTTTATATAAAAAAAAGAAATTCAAAATTCAATTTTTTTTTTTTACATTTCTTCGGGAGAATTACATGCACATAGATATTAAAAAAACAAAATCACAAACACAAACACATAAGAGTATACCTATAGTGAGGTGCAAATGAAAAACTATGAATGTGCAAGTGTCACTTGCACTCCCCATAAGTGTCAATCCATTCAATCATATCATTTTGGTTAAGGAATGATGAGATTTCTTTATCATTTCAAGTCACAATTGCATTGATTTAGTGAGATCCACTAGTCATATTTGTATTAATAACAATATATAATAAATAAAATCACTACTTTGGAGGACCATTGCATGTTAGTCAGATACAAAAATGGTTAAGATATCAGATTATGCAACTACGATGAATTCTAATCCCTGTGGTACACAAAAAGACCCAAAAAGTGACACTAGGAAAAAATAAATAAATAAAAATCTCTTCCAATGGCAGTAGAAACTGGAGCAAGGCGCAAAGGAAAATTCTAAGATGGCCGACTCAGTCTAGCTTCATCCTGTCCATATCGGTCATCACCGCTTCAAGCTGTACAAAAACATCGACCACATTTAAAGCTAATCCGACCATTTGTAAGCATGAGAGGAAGAAAGTAAATCTAACCTTGACAATCTGCCGCAAGAAGTAATCCCCATATCGCTTAGCTGATTTTGATTCAACCACATGAATCATGTCCTGCATTAAAAGAAACAAAGTCGCTCAGATCCACAGATGAGCAAATCTAAAAATCTCAAACAACCCAATTTCATATGCCTTGTGTAACCACATTTGCATAAACTAGCATCCACTTTTTATTACATATAATATGGTGTGGCATCCACCAGTATGTCAATTCTCTCATGTATGTAAAAATGAATGGGCCAGCCAAAAGTTGTCTCTGGCTGAAACTTCAGAATTTGTTTTGGGCTCTACCGTGCTAATTCGAGTTAGTTATCCAAACTTGCCTTTGTACCACCAAGCCTTCTAAAATTATTCACAAACGGAACCCTAATGCTGTGTTTGGTTGGGGGATTTGAGAAGGAATTTGGAAAGGGAAATGAAAAAGGTTGGTAAAATGTGAATAAAACATGCCTATATTTCACATAGTTTTACACACCTTTTCCCTTTCTCTTTCTAAATCTCTCCCTAAATCCTCAAACCAAACACAGCATAAGAGAAGATGGCAATGAAAAAGAAACTAATAACTAAAGAACTAGAGACATACATCATCCATGTAGAAGTCAATGTCAGCATTGGAGATGATTTTTCCATCAGAATCAACAGCGTGAGTTTTATGCTTGTATGTCATCAAAATTGTCCTGCAAAGCAATTATCCCAGCAAACAGCTCAGAGGATCATACCAAAGAATAAATACTCATGCGGCAAACAAACAAAAAAAGATATCCATTTAACCTCAGAGTGGGTTCATCCACTTCCATATAAGTTGCAAGCTTCCCAAGGGAGATGGTTGAATAAACTTTCAAGAAGGTCCGGACACCCGATAGCAACTGTTGTTGCTTGACTTCGTATAAGAAGAGCTTCAACTGAAGTCTATACGCATCCTGCAACAAGCAAACGTCAATTCAGTGTAATGAGGAAAATCAGTATGCATTAACACAAGAAAGCTAAGAGATTGTCCAAACAAACATACCACAAACCCAAACAATAAGTTTATTTGAGTCAATCCCAACACATCCTTGTGACCAAACAAGACACATTGAGTAACTTGTTCAGATTTGTCTAACTACTATATCCATATGAATGTATGGTAATCAAATAAAACTACAATAAAAATGCTTTAATATGAACTCTAACAATGCACCAATTATTGCATCCAAAAACTCTTACAAAAATCTATGCCTCCTTGACCTGATGACTTCTTAATGACTCAGAAAAACAACTAAACACTCGACTTCAGCTTATGAAATAAATGGCTGATACTAGAGGGTACAACTTATGAGCTAAAATTCAGAGATTGTATACAATGCAAATAATAGGAATAACCAGCATGAAAAAACTTTTCACCCCAAACTGATGTTTACATGTCAAAAAGCCCAAAATAAGACTGTAAATCATCTGTTTATCAATTGCATTTTCACATTTTCCTTATAATGCCCCTGGTCCTGGACAGCTCACAATGTACCTGACCCCGATGGGGACACTCTCAAACAGAAGAAAAGAAAAGAAATTTCCAAACAAGGGTGTCTCTATCTATGTATTCCCTATTTTCGAAATTCAGTGAGTCAAAAAAAAACTAGTAATCTGTCAAACAATGGTTTGTTTGACCATTTTATTACTTATAGCAGAAGAAAGAAATAAAAGGTCTTCAACTATCAGCTGAGGACTTCACTAGAATGAATCAAGCACCTCTGAAGGGATCCTGTTTCTAAAATTCCTAAAGAATAAGAATGCGTAGCTTCCGAATAGGTAATCAATTCCATACTCATTTGTTTGGCTACATGAAAGAATATCGATGGTCAGTCCCTCTACAACCCAAGTAAACACACTAGAGATCCATGTTGAGATCTCAAGGGGATCACTTTGTTCACTACTGGAAATAACTGAAAATGCTGAAATTATATTGCTCCTCTAGGGAACTGCAAAACACATCCAGAACACCATTTACTTATATAGATAAGTTCATTTCTTTGATTCCAATTGAAAGAGAAAATGCCTCTAAAGGGATCCCCTTAGTAATACATTCAGAAATTGAAAGGATAGTTTCTTACCATACATAGGAGATCTGGAAGTCATCATTCCAAATCCCAACTACTTCCTCACTTAAACTAAATGATCATGGTTGGTCAAATCCAAGCTAGTACCGAGAACATTTAAAGATATCATGGTTTTATAGAATTCACTTTTACAAGATGGTTGACAAAAAAATTCCTAAATCTGAAAACAAAATTTTCTAAAGTTGATTCTTATGCACATTTAAGGAATAACCAATGCAAATCCCAGAATCAGATTCATGTTGTGGTAAAAAATTATGGTACCCAAGTGAATTATATCACTACTGCATTTCTGGGTCATGTCACCCCCTTAAGACACAGGCATAGATAGCATATACATACCTGATTGTAATTTATAAGAGGCTCCTCATAACTTGGAGCTGAGGGAGTAATGAATTTGGGACATGCATATGAGAAGAGCTCATCATAGAGGGCAAATGCCTCGTCATCATATCTCTGCATTCTCAACATCTTTTCACCGTACTTCTCCCACAATTGTGAGTTCACAGTCTCATCAACAAGCTTTACTTGGGGGCAAAGAGAAAGACAAATTGCCAACAAAGCATACATTTGCTCATTCTTCTTTAGTATCTGTTCATATTGCGGAGATTTCTGGTGATATTGCTTGGTCTTGTAAATGTACAACAGAATCTTATTAAATTCTCGAATCGCCTCTACATACCTGCAACCATGCTAATAATGTTAAGTTAACTAACCAAATAAGGCAAATCAAAACAATATGGACATGTTACAATGTAAGTTATGTTTTCGTTTATGCGGCTTTGCTTAGAAGAGAGAGTAATATAGCATGAAGCATTAGTTTTTCACACAAATTTTTACATTTTGTTCTATCAAAACTCCACTCACCTTAGATTTTAGTTCATTAAATTTATCATTTTGGAACAAAAGTGTACATATATCAAAACATGCGTTCCAAAACATAATTTGCTAGGGTATCAATGTTTTCTCGTAACACTTAGAAAACTTGTTTGGTGCACACATGTTTTGAAAACAAAAATAAGAAAACTTGTTTGGTGAGTTGCTAGAGGTGGTGACAGACAACATAGGGTGGTCGACAACGGGAATGGTTGAAGGTAATGGATGGAAATTATGAGAGGGTTGTCGGAGGGTTGTTAAAGGTCACCAAAGGTCATCATGGTCATGGGAGGGTGGCCAAAGGATTACCAGAGGTCGGCCGGCCGGAGGTCATAGATGGAGGTGGGTGAGGGAGGAGAAGGTGAAAATTTTATTCCAAAAATTTTTGAAAATTTTGAAAAATGTTGCCACATTTGTTAAAACAAAAACAACCGTGAAACATGTTTTTGTTTCCAATATAACTTTTGAAAACAAAAACAGAAAACATGAAACAAAAACATTACCAAACAAGGCCAAAACCTTCTCTAATTGCAAATCCTACAAGATATTTTTGTGCCTCGTACCTCCATCAAAAAATTATGCTTGGTTAAGCTTTCAGAATATGCTTTCTACAAAATTTTCAAAACTAGTCATTTTTGGGGCGAAAATATTTTTTGAAAATTAAAAAATATCTTTTTTGGTATTTGTTTTTGGCAAACTAATTTCTAATTTTTCAAAAAAAAAAAAATATTCTAAAAACCCAACCAAACACAGAGCCTAAGTTTTCTGAACATATTAGATATATGTTCCAAAAGATGCAAGGACAACAAATATTTTAAAAGGATTAACATCAAGCATCAAGCATCAACCATCAAGAAATAATTAAAACCCAAAAGCAAACTTTGTGCCTCCACAAGTATCTAATTTCTAATATTAAAAATCAAATGTATCAAGAAATAATCATAATTGCTTGTTTATACATGTGTCAAAAAAGCTTCGGGTGTATTGATTTATATGTATGCCAATTAATTTATCATTGTTATTTGTAAATAGTAACTTATACAGAATAAATCCATGTTTTCGTTAAACTTACATATATACATCCAAATAATCAAAAAAATGCTTAACACATACTACAGAATCTTTTTGGTTTTCAAAGATATCTCTTGCCTAAGCAATCAAAACCTACAGCAATAACCATCTTAAAGGACATAAAAACATACCTCCGCAGCATAAGATTAGCAAAACCATAGTGATATATGGTGGTGATGTGGCTTCCAATAACACTAGTGTAGACGCCTTGTTGGCTTATGTCAATGGGCAGCAAGCACTTTAGACTGGTATGATAATCACCCAAAAGACAATGGACTCGCAGCAAGCCCACCATGCTGAAATACCCCAAGGCCTTCAACACATTGCTTCCACCATTGTAATCATATCCATCAGTTGCAGTGAATTGTTCAAGGCCTTCCTTCTCCTGCTCTAGAATTTGAATGATCATGGATTTCTCAACAAGTGCTTGCAAAAAGTTGAGTACACCATACACATTCCAAGCCTACAAATAAAAATAAAAATACAAACATTATCACATCCTGATGATAAGGCTAAGATACAGAATAATTCAATAATAGAGAAAGTAGATAAGGATACACATAGACACAAATAACTTTGAGACCCTTCTTGCTATAATCTCTCAATAACTCCCAAATGTAAAAGTCTAAACGAAATGAAACATCAACTCATCACAAAGTGAGTGAATTGACCCAAAGATTAACCACCTCTTCCCCACCATGAAAACCAAGCATCTCTAAACAAAAATCGCCAGACAGCTCTCCTGTGTGAGTAAAGCATTAACAAACTGCCAATTCTCCCCACTCCAATCGCCCAAACTTGCATTCACAGCATACAGTGTACATGCCTATATGTGTGTGTGTGTGTGTCATATACACACTAGCATGCACATATACCTAGACTACTAAATTAAGGAAAATCCCAGATTTTTGTACACTCTCCACTATCAGACTACCAAGTTAACCTTCTTTCTGCATAGTTATTTGTTTACACAAGCCAATAGTTTTTACAGTTATTCTCCACCATCAGACTTGGAGGTTTATGTGAGTGCAAGTACAAGTACCAAATTTTAGACTGCACATACACAGAAGCATTCAACTCCCAGTCTAAGCCTCTTAAATCTAAAAATGCACAATATAATACAAGCAAAAAAACTTCCATCATAACCCCATATACAACACCATTAGGCAAGCAGAAATATAAGATAATGACTTGCGCATTCAAAAAAAATACAAGAACCTGAAGAGGCCACCGGAAAGGGGGTTGTCCTATGCGTGCTTTTACAAGTATCTCATTTTCACTTACAAATTTACTTCAACTAAATTACTCCCTATAAAATCAATTTCCAAATCATACAAAACCAAATAATCTTCATGCTCCAAATACATCAACACATCCCTCATAATTCCACCCTTCTAGCCATGAAACTTACACCTAGACAATGCCCACTTCAACCCATTACCCAAACAACACAAAAAAATTAAAAGACAAGGGAGATTAAATAAATAAAGATAAAAAACTTCTTCCACCAAACAAAATTTGCCTCAATTTCTGTTCTACAAATGCAAGACAAGAGGAAAACAATCATAACAAGAGATTATTACCTGATCAAACTGCCGAAGGAGCGCAATCTCCTGCTCAGTCTTGTTCTTCATCTTAGCTCGGTATTGACAAAACGACTGAAATTGGTACACAAACTCATCCACCATATCCCACAACCACTGGTTCGGCAACTGCATATTCACCACTCCATGCAACACCACCTAAACGCAATAACACAAAATCAAGGTCTAACATATGTCATAAACATAAATATATCTATCTATTCTTCTATTCTATTATATTAAAGCGTATAGGTAAGTTGGTGCGTGAACACTCTCACATTTTTTACTTGTTCAATAATACCCTCTCACCCAATAACTGTCACATCCAATAACGGTTATAATGACTTTTCTCTTTCATCGGCTTCGTTTGGGAAGTGGCTATTTTTTAGGCTTTTTGGCTATTTGGCTATTTTAGTTTTTGTGTTTGAGAAGATGGGATGAATTTTTATTTGAGTTGTTGTATTGGAAAATGTGTTTGAAATGATGTTTAAATTGAAATGACAAATTTGTCCCTGATTTTATTTTTTCCGAAATTACTGTGTAGGGGTAATATTGTAATTAAACCTCTCTGCAGCCTACACTGTTGGTGGCAGTGTAGGCTGCTGGCCGTAATCATTTGACTTTTTTTTTTCTTTTTTCTTTTTTTTGTGAAAATCATGCAGAGGTGAGGCTTTTTGGCTATTTTCTCATTTGAGGCTAAAATAGCCCAAAACACCCCCATCATCAAACAATAATAAAACTTAAATATAAAATCGCAAATGCAATGCGTTTGCACTCACCACTAGTATATAATATGTATGCAGTATTGACTAACAGTGGATACAAATACCATTCGTTTCTAATTTTATATCTAAATTTTGTGACAAATTGATTAACAGTTGAATTTAAAAACAGCTAACAACTATTTACCAAAGCAAGTTAACAATATCACTGTGAGTTATAGCCGTACACGCAAGCCAAGCCAAGTAGTATGTTGTTCAACAAAACTTAGTTTTAAAATGTGTTTAAATTCAGCTTGTTAGTTAACATATGCGATCGATTTGAACAAGCAAAACTCTTAATTTTTATTATAAGGTTCATAATATTAAATTGTTCAATCAAGTTATAAAATTGATTGAAAATAAACTTGTTTACGTAAGGAGTGTAGGGTTTAATCTCAAACTAAACTAGTTAGTTAGATTAGATCGTGCCTGAAAGAGACTGCAATAATTGTCCCAAGAATCGATTCTCTGGCGAAGAGTTGGAGACAAACGAGCGTAGAGGTGGCGAAACCACATCTCGCGGTAGAGCAAGCAGAAGACGTGATCATTGTCGACGTACTGAGAGACGGCGTCGACGGAGGGCCAAGGAGTGTCCTTGAACATGCGTTCGCTTAGGGTTTGGAATGAGGTCTCGTACATCTGGTGGATCTCGTACACGTTCTTCTCTCGAATGTGACGGTAGAGGTGGACTACGAACGATTTCACTGAGTCAGGAACGAAGTTTGGGTCGAACCCTAGGGCATCTGGTTCACCGGCGACCGTGTCTTCGTAGTCGTATGAGGCCGCCATAGTCGATGTGCTTGGTTTTCTCTCAACTGTTGCAGAGGCTAGTTTAGTTTGGGAGACTAGGGTTTAAAAAAGATATAAAAAAAGAGAGAGAGAGAGATCCGACTCCGACAGGAGAGAGAGAGAGAGACGTAGAAGGGTCTTTCCGTTCATTTTTCTAGAGAAGTTGGGGTGTTTGGTAAAGGTTTTTTTTTTAATTTTTTGAATTAAAATTTATAAAATGTATATTCGTAATATCTATATAATAAGATAAGAGGCTTTTTGAAAATATCTTAAAATGTATGAGAGTTACATTTTGAATCAAGGGTTTAGATCCATTCTAATAAATATCAATGGTTGAGAAGATGTTTGATTCCCGCCTAAACGCACATCTCTCTCTCACTCTCACATCTGTCCAAACAAACGTCTCTCTTTACACGTTTTCTCTCTACACATCTGGCCCTCTTTACACACGTTCGCTCATTGCCGCCATTGAAGGGGAAGATCGAACTTGGCTCATCGACACCTACCTTCCTCGCAATCGCACCCGCACCGGCACCCGCTCCCTTCAAACCCATCGTTGCTGCAATTCAAACCCATCGTTGATTGAGTTCCGTGACGATCTTGATGATGAGATAGAAAACCAGAGTGAGAGAGTGAGTTAGTTTATACACAGATCTTAATGGTTTGGGGGTTTTGATATCGGCACTCCCTCTCTCTCTCTCTACATACACACACACCTCTTTGTTTTTATGATCAAATTATAATAAAGAGCATTGCGACAACACAAGCAAACCCCAAAAAACCCTAGATTTCTCTATACAAATTCCAGGGTCTTCGAACCTTTCGAAGATCATCGCTTAGCACCGCCACTGTTAAAGTACAAACTGATCAACAAAATCGATTGGTTTCCTCGAATTGATTGATTTTTTTGATCTTTTTCTCTGCATATATGCTTCATATGATTTCTCGAATTGATTGATTTTTTTGATCTTTTTCTCTGCATATATGCTTCATATGATTTCTATTTTGTTTTTTTTTTCCTTTTTAAGTATTTTTTCCGTTTGTTTTTGCTCTTAGGAGTGATTGTTTTGATCATTGTCGCTGTTTATCTTCATATTCAATATATGCCTATGATTATGGTTGTGCTATTTGATTTTAGCTGTGAAATTAAAAAATTGTAATTTATTGGAAGGTCATTAGATTTTTTATTTTGATTTTTTTACTTCTATATTTATTTACTAGCGTATGCCCGTGCCTGAAGACACAGTGTAAATAATGTTAGAATTATAATATTAATTTTTTGACTTCTAATTTATTTTCAGTCACATTAATTTTTTATTTTTTTTATATATGTTTTCTTAAAAAAATTAAGAAATTAATTTTCAACAAACTTTCTAAAATAAGCTTTGATTGCTAAAAAGCAGAGATAGAGAGAGAGATTTTATTTGGATATAGATTCTATTTGGATAGATTGATGAAGTACATAGACATCAATTTAAACCTCAGAGACACGGGGTTTGAGAGAGAGAGAGAGGTACCGGAGGGGGTTCGAAGCAAAGACGATGGCAATGGCTGTGGTGGTGGTGATATCCAGAAAATACCTAATTAACAAATCAATTTTACTCTATTATATGATGGAGGAGAAGGTAGAAATCAAACATGATAAAATGAAGTCCATAGTCACCACATTTAATCAGAAAGCAAACTGCTTAGAATGGGGGTCTAAAGCACGAAAATTGAAACAACCTTTTACAATAAAATACTAAACCATAAATAAACCTTGACACTAACTAAACTCTAGTTGTTGAGAAAACTGAGGATTAAAAAATTGCTAGGAATAAGGGTCATCATTGCACAATATAAGAAAATTATTTGCAATAAGATCTTGGTACCATGGAAATGAACTTCATAATAATGAAACAAATCCCATCTCTTAACTTAAATTTGAACAGTCAAAGCAGCATTTAACTATTTTCAGTACAATCAGCTTACAGGTAATGCTAGAGTGTGAGTGCGAGCGGGCGTGCGCACACACAAAGGAAATGGAGCTATTTTGGCAGGTGTCTAACTTCAACAATCTCAATACAAAAATCTTACAACCAGTTTATTGGGTCAGCTAGCTCTCTGGCAATCATGGTCCCCAAGGGTAAAACATCGGATACAGGTTACAGAAGTCAGAATCAATAAGTAAACATGTAAAACCATAAAACAGGTCACCACTATGATGTGTAATTGGCCAAATTCAACAACTTTTGAAAAAATAAAATAAATAAAAAATAAATAAAGGCCTAGAGCATCCAAAACATAATTTGAAAAAAAGTAAACCGACTCTAACTGGATAATAGGAATAGCTTCAGCGTAAGCGGAGATAATTTTCTTATCATCTTACTAAACAATACCACGGCACCAACCACCTAATGACACATCCATTAAGCGCATTTTTTTTTTGTCTTTTTTTCTTCCCCAATAATTCTCTTTTTACTTCAGTGGCAAAGCAACTAAGCATGATACTTCAGAATATCATTATAGTACAAACAAAATAAAATAAAAAAACTAAGGTTGATTCATGCTTATTATTTTGCTGAGAACGCAATTACAATTTAAAATAAATAAAAACAAAAAGTGAGCTAAACATAGGATATTAGTATGACCATTCGACCAATTAATATGTGATGAGCTAAATGGAGACATATAATCACCAGTCAACAACTCCATAAGATCAAAAAATATACATAAGAAAATGGAAAGATATATGAAAGAGAAGAAATACAAAAGAACAGGACATATAATCCGCAAAAATGAAAATTTAATTTCATAAATTTCACTTACAGAATGAGGTTAGTAAACAATGAAGCAACGACCACTATAACCACCGATCCTAGACGCCTCTTTCGACTCGCAAATGCAAATTCAGAAACACCAGAAGTTTGTTTTTAAACTACCTTAAAAATCCAGCAGTCACCTTTGTTGAAAAGAGAAAAATTAAATCCAAAAGAGTTCAAATAAAAAATTAAAAGAATTTACCTTCTAAATGACCCAAGAAATCTAGGCTTGATTTGTAATTTTTCAAGAATGCTGTAGGTCTTCCAGGAGAAAAGGCCCCTGGTTTTCCCTTTTGGATTGCTGAGAGAACCTCTTTAAGGATTGAATTGGCCAGGAAGCTAAATACATGCAAACCTGAATTTTCTGCATGCATCAATTAGAAGTTTAATGACTCGAAAATAAAAATTAAAAATTAAAAATAATATATGATTGAGAAAATATGAAATAATAATTTTTTATACATATGAATAAATAAGTAATGTAACGCCCTCAAAAATAAACCCATCGTAACATACATTCACGATAAAGAGAAGAGATTTCATATTACAATCATTAGAGTATTCTTACAAAAGGTATTACATGTTGACAACAAAAGTAAATGCCCTATAGGCTTACAACTTTCCAAGTCAATACTTGGTTACAAAAGGAGAGTACTAACTCTACACAAAATAAGCCCTTGGCTTGATATACATGTAATACAACAAAAATAACAAAAAGGAGTCTAACAGCCTCAAGCCTCCCAAGCTACGTCTTTGGAGGTGGCATAACACCTGTACCTGAAAATGATGTCCTATATAGGGTGAGCCAACGCCCAGTAGAGATATCCTAAACATAATACGAGCAATAACTAAGACATTAGCATTTGATAAATGTTTAATTCATATAAATCAACTCATAACACGTTTCAATCCCATGACACAGATGTCCATGTTTCAATCCTCTATCCTTTACTTAACCAGTTTTCAGCTCATAAACATGGCTCAGAACCTGGCCAAACAATTTAATGAGACTACAGCTCATATCAACAAGACTTTCATTTATCAACAAATCAAATCAGATAATAACTCATATTAGACACTTCCATACTTCACAACAGATACACAGATTTGCTGTATTATGAACATATTAAAACACTTCCATATTTCACAATAGATACACATATTCGCTGTATCAATATTACACAAAGCACTTCCATGCTTCACAATAGATACACATATTCGCTGTATCAATATTACACAAAGCACTTCCATGCTTCACAATAGATACACATATTCGCTGTATCAATATTACACAAAGCACTTCCATGCTTCACAATAGATACACATATTCGCTGTATCAATATTACACAAAGCACTTCCATGCTTCACAATAGATACACATATTCGCTGTATCAATACTTCAATAGATACACATATTTGCTGTATCAATGGAGTACATCCCCTATCTCCTCCCAAACAATATCCGGTTTAGGAGTCCATCTCCTATCTTCCCATAAACCGTGGAGTACATCCCCTATCTCATCTCACACAACACAATGTATATAAGCATGTATCATATATGTTCAATCAATACACAAATTTGATGTATTATTCCATTCATCATAATCAATGACATACAACCGATTATTTTAATTCGCCTAATCATCATGCAATGTCTACAACAATCAAGACTATCCTCCACCGATAGCCCAAAGTAATTATTTCTAAACAGACAATAATTTTATCAACAGATAATTTATCAACAATTTCAAAGGTGAGTGATTAATGAATCCAACTCCACCATTCTAGCTTATAATGAGCCAATTTCATTATTTCCATAATAAATGTCATTAATTACACTAATGACCCAAATATACCCAAACATGGCATTTTCCCTCTTTCCTCAACATTGACCCAAAGGTCCAAATATTATCAACAACATCAATAACCTCCTTCTTAGACCCAAAACACATATGTTTGAATCAAAAGAACAAAACCCCTATTTCCAATATAACACATCTCAAACCCCAACTTCCCAAATCAAACCATTTATATAAAAAGCTCAACATTTAAGTTAAAGCTCATAAAAATGAGTAGTTATCCCTACCTCAAAGTCGGAGCTCAAAGGAAGAAGGTGAAGAAATTCGAAATGCTCCAAACCCCAATATTTTCAGATCAAAATGTAGCCTTTAACAAGCTCCATACTTTTTACAAAGGCCCAAGGGTAGAAGATCACTCATATTAGATCAAACCCTAGAGAGAAGTTGGAGTTTTAGAGTGAGGTGCTCTCCAATGGAGGTTTTGAAAAGTAAGAGAGAGAAAGAAAGTGTGAAAAGTGATTTAAAATCACCCACCTGCCATCTGATATA